GAGCTGCATCAGAAGGAACAGAATAGCCTTTAGTCTTCCACAGCCCCTAAGCATTTTGGTAATAAATAATAAAAGGTATTTATTACATGTTACAGTGACATTGTGGAATTCAAATGCAGTTAACCGTAACATTTTCTTCCTCAAATGTTAAAAAGAAAGAAAAAAGTATTAGGAATGGGGAGGCAGGACAGCGGGAGCAGTGGCTTTAAAACCTGAGGAATGTGGTAAAGAGAGCCTTGTGTGTTTTTTACAGTCGTAGAATGGGGGTAGAAAGTGGGGAGAAAACATGAGCAGGAAGTCAGGGGATTAGGACTGCAGGCCTGTCGGTGCCACCGTCTGGCTTTGCTACCTTGGACAGGAGGACTAGCCTCGCTCTATCGCAGCATCGCACTTATCATCAGGTAAAGGGGTTGAGAGCCTTCCTGTTTTATCAGCTGTTTATTCAGCACTCTCAAAAGACCTCTGCATCAGGCTTCCCTGGAGTTCAGTGGCGCACTGCTTGGAACCATACTTCTTTTCAACCAAAAGGAGCCAGGCTCAGTCTGGGTAGTGGGCAAGGGGGGAAGAAACAGGCCTCGTGTTTCCCTTGCCTCAATTTGCTGTGCTGTGGCCTGGACAGAAAAGTCTTTCTTAGACCGACTCACAACAACACTGCAGAAAGCATCTTGGGGTAGAGGGTAGTGACTAAAAGCATAAGCACTGGAGTCAAGTTTTCAGCTTGAGTTCTAGCCCAGGTCACCTGTAACCATATGTTCCATTACACTGGGACCTTGAGCAAGTTGTTTAACTTCTCTGAGCTACAGAGTCTGCATCTGGAAAATGGTGTGTTAAATCTGAAAATAAATGACAGGACCTTGCATAGTCCTTGACACATAAACTCTCAATTAATGGTAGCCAAAGAAATGAGCAATAACAAAAATGTTTCCTAGGCCTTAGTCTTATACCAGTAACGAAGGGTAAATGATGGCTGGGAGCAGGGAAGAAAAGTGTATTATTTGTATGTAGGAGCTTCTGGCAATCACACATGAGCTGCTCTGGGTGCTGGCTGGGGAGATATCACAGCACATCTTAGGAGCCATGCCTGCATTTTAGGAAGGACTGCAAAGGCAAGAAGCAGAAATGAGAGACCTCTTGGAAAAGGATGTGGATTTTACATTCATTCATTCATTCATTCATTCATCTAGCACTGAGGAGCTATGGCAGTTGTGGCTTTCGGTTACTTGTTCATGTACCAGACCTTTGCTAGCAGGAATACAGAGATGAATGGCCCCATCCCTGCCCTCAGGGAACTGACAGTCTACAGTGCTAAAAATAAATTGGCAGTGATAATAGAAGATGCTAAGTCTGAGGAAGGTAAGCACAGGGAGCACAGGAGGTGGGTGACTGTTCTGATTTGCCCAGGACTATCTTGATTTTAACACTAGAAGCCCACATTCTAGAAAGTTCCTCTGTCCCAAGCAAACTGAGACGGTTGGTCACCCTAGTGTGAGGAGCCAGAGGAGCGGCTGCACGTGAATAATCTTGCCGAGTCAGGGGGGCTTCCTGGCTGAAGGGATAGCCTACAAGGAAAGTAGGAATTTTCAAGACAAGAATGTTTTTGATGAGTTGAAGGTGGAGAGGGTTGTAAGTAGAAAGAATTCTATACGCAAAAATCTAGAGGCAGATGAGTCCGTCAGGAAGTGGGGAACCCTACGGCGAGAAGGTGGATGGCCTTCCTTTGCAGTGGACAACCATTGCCCTCCAAATGTGTTCCTCTTCTCCTTGATCTCTCCTCTGACTCATATTGATTGAGAATGTAGATCTGCAAAACTGGGAGATGCTGTCTAGGCTCTCACATTGTCAGGGGAGAAGAGAAGATGAACTCTTCCGAAGGCCCCTTTCAAGTCTTCAATTCTAGACCAAGAATCCACACCACTAGGTCATCCACTGGGTAGGTATTCACTCTGTATATAAAATAAATGGCCTACACCATCCCTATGTATTTTAGCTGCTTTGAAGAGTGACACACATCATTACACAATTGATTTGTCAGCAATGAGGTGTCCATGATAAAGTGGGCCAGCAGGGATGTGGATGCTGGGCCACTGCCAGCTGGCTGAGCCACCATGGAGATGCAAGTTTAATTATTTTGTTTCTCTAAGTGAAAAAAACCCTTTCCTGGTGAGGCGACACACCCTTTCCCATGCTCATGAAAACCTAGAAAACCAGCTAGAGTTTGTTTTTTGTCCCATTATTCCCTAAATGTTTACTGTAAAGAATGCTCTTCTACTTGATTTGTTTCTTTGCATTGTATGCCTATTTCAAAATATCTCATGTACTCCATAAATACATACACTTACTATGCACCCACAACTGAAAAGAAAAAGTTGGGCTTCAAATAGAGCTGTCACTTAATTTTTTGTTAATAAACTCTTTTACAGAGTCTATTCTGTATATATGAACAGTGTTCAATCAAGAGGGTACCCATTTAGCTTTTCAGCACTTCTTTCCCAAAGTGAATCACTTTGGCAAAGGTGATTTCTAGATTGTTAATCCTTTAGGTATGTGTTTCATTCTCTAATATTGGGCTGGTATGAACACATTGCAGGGGGAAAAAACTTAGTGTCTTTTCTAAAGCCTCTCCCAGAGAAAAAAAGAACATGGGGAGGAAGAAATCTTGACATCACTTAATAAAGCTTTATGAGTAACTCCTTTACTAACATAGATAACACTGCTAATGCATATTGCTCAATGAAAGAAAACGTCCCAGGCTATACTTTACAACAGGCAGAAAACTTTGAGCTGTCTTGCCAATGCTTTATACTAAGTGCCAAATCCTTCTTTCTTTCTTAGGCATTTATTGTAATAACATGAATCATGATGCATCACTCTGGTATTCGTGTGGCTGCTCAGTGTTAAGTCCCCAGGACCTCCATGGAGTTGACTTTATTTGGTTTTCCACTTCCGTTTCTGAGTGAGAGCCACATGAACTCAGACGTGAAGGCTCACAGGAGCTCAAGTGGGCGGCCCTTTCTGTTGCTGTTTTCGTCTGCCTGTACTCAAAGGTTGTGGTATGCACAGACCTGAACACTTCAGGGGACATTCAGCTGGAACTACCCCCATTTCCTCTAGTTTCCACTAAAACAAGAGACTTAGGATGATATTCAGGATTGCTCAGACAGTTGCAAACCTCTGGGGCACTTGTAAGAAATGTGGCTATTAATAGAATTTTGGAGCATTGACATATATGTTTTCTAACTTCCCATATATAACCCTGAGAGGTGGGCTGGATGTTAAACCCTGGAAGTAGGGAGTTTCCAGAAAACCCTCCAGGATATGATGAAGAGTTTGGATGAGTGACTTCTATATATAAAAGTTAATAGTGCCTGTTTCAAAGCCTAAATGGAATGCTGTGCTCATCTCCGACTTTGTGAATGTTTAATTGGCACAGTCAATTTATTCAGTCTCGCTCTGTTACCCAGGCTAGCATGCAGTGGCGATCAATCTCAGCTCACTGAAACCTCTGTCTCCTGGGTTCAAGCAATTCTTTTGCCTCAGTCTCCCCAGTAGCTGGGACTACAGTCATATGCCACCACGCCCCACTAATTTTTGTGTGTGTGTGTTTTTAGTAGACATGGGGTTTTACCATGTTAGCCAGGATGGTCTCCATCTCCTCCTGATCTTGTTATCTACCTACCTTGGCCTCCCAAAGTGTTGGGATTATAGGCGTGAATCACTGTGCCCAGCTTTTTAATTGTCTTTCTTTCTTTTTCTTTTTTTTTTTTTTTCTTGAGATGAGGCCTTCCTCTGTCAGCCAGGCTGGAGTGCAGTGGCATGATCTTGGCTCACTGCAGCTTTCACCTCCTGGTTTCAAACAGTTCTCCTGCTTCAGCCTCCCAAGTAGCTATAATTATAGGTGTCTGCCACCACGCCCAGCTAGTTTTTTTTTATTTGTAGTAGAGATGGGGTTTCACCATGCTGGCCAGGATGGTCTTGAACTCCAGATCTCAAGTGATCCACCTGCCTCAGCCTCCCAAAGTGCTGTAATTACAGGTGTGAGCCACTGTGCCTGGCCCTTTCAAAGTCATAACTGTGATGGTGAAACAGCAGGAGTGCTGTTGGAAATATTTAACATAAGCAAAAAGGAAGGGTAATGAACATTGATAGCAATTGGAAGGATGATGGCTGTGAACAATGTATAGCCTTACCTGAGTGTCTCAGCTGAGTGTCACTCCAGCAGAGCACCAATCACTTGCAGTGGCTGTCGCAAAGACACTGGTGACTTATTCATTGTACAACAAATATTGTGTGCTCACTATATGTCACTTACTCTGCCAGGCATTGGAGATAAAATGCTGGGCAAAACCAGACATGCTCCTATCCTTCTAAACCTAACAATTTGGTCTGAGAGACAGATGTTAATCAAATAGTCACATAAAAATACATAAAATGTCAACCTTGACAAGAAATTGCACAAGATACTATGAAAAACCTTGATGTAGTGGGGGATATGATTACTGGGCTGAGACTTAAAAGATGAGAAGTAATTAACTAGGATACCACAGGAGGGAAGAGTGCTTCAGGGAAAGGGAACAGCTTGCATATATGAAGTTAAGTGATTCACCCAGTTGTGCAATTAATAACTGGTAGAGTCAGAGACAGGTGAAGAGCTCCAGGGGTCTCAGTTAGGAATCTTACTAGCCCTATCTAATAGAACTATTTTGCAATAATGGAAATTTTCCGTAGCTATGCTACTGGATACAATAGCCATTAGTTATATGTGGCTATTAGCCGTTACACTGTGTTTAGTGTGATGAGGAACTGAAATTTTATTGTGGCCACCATATTGGAAAGCACAAATCGATATGAACCAAGTCCTGAACTAGTCCAAGCTACATAGGGCAGAGGGTTATTAAAGAAGAGAGGAAGTATATTTTTTTCTGGGATAATGATAAGCACATTGACCTGGGGGCTACATTCATTCAGTCTCACTCAAAAACATAAACTTATTGGGTATTTACTATATGCCAGGCACTAGGCTAGACCTGGAGCTTCTCTGATTAACAAGACCAATCTCCCACTCTTGAGGCATTCAGAGTCTAATAGAGCAGATACACTCATAGCAGTAATAGCAATATATTGTGGTTGAATTGGCAGGATTTTGCCTTTTAAGGGTTGGTTACGATGGGAAGAACTGAGGGATCATACTTCTCTAATCTAACACTTGGTATGCTCAACCCTATAAGCAAAGGTCAAGGTTTCTAAACTTCAGCTGCTCCATATTCCAAGGGTTTCAAATAAAAAGGGAGGGCTTTAATATAACACACTATACACATTAAAAAATATCCCAAATTCAGTATACCAGTGTAAAAACAGAGGTGGATTTGCATTTTCACATAGGCCTTGCATGCCTTTTCTTATGTAGGGCATCTATTGCTGAGTTTGGGGAAGTCGGGCCCCACCAATTTAAATTCTTTGTAAATAGGTCATGAGACTTTTACCCAAGGATCCGCTAAGTGACATAAAATTTTAGTCGGATCCAAGTTGTATTTTCATGTGACTTTTAGACATTGACTTTTGCTTCTTACACAGGCTAAAAAGGGAGCTAATAACTTTTATGTATTTTCTAAAAGCACTTTCGCACAAGCAGCGGCTGTTCAAACACTTCAAACACTTAAACCTTCCTGCTATTACACACAGAATGCCAACAGTTACTACATCATTGTAAAAAACACTTCCTGATACTCAATTATACTCATTATGCCTAAATATTTAATTCCTTCCAATACCCAATTTAAATCGTCACTTCAAAATAATGTGTTTCCGATTGCTGGAGTCTACCAAATTACCTCCTCAAACCTATCACCTGAAAAAACATTATGTGCCAGAGAGAATAAAGAGACTTTCCCTGTTAAAAACTCAGGACACTTGCCCAGGGAGCTTCTCCTCATGGCACATTGATTTCTGCAGTGTGTTGTGGCTCACACCTTGTCCCTCCATCTTGCAGACCCAAGGAGGAAGAACCTAGAGGGTATGCCCCACTGACCTAATCTGTCACAGCTATGACTTCTCAGTAAAATTAGTGGGTGTAGGGTGTGGGGTAAAAAATACAGAAGCAGAGGCTTACTCCAGATACACTTAATGCGAACCACCTAGGAGGGCTGAAAATCTGTATTTCTAAAAAACATTTCAAGGGATTTAGAAATGATTGGTTAACAGACTAGGAAATCCTATTGTATTCAATTAGCATATTTTACCCTGTTACACTTATGACATAATATTCAGTGTGAAGTTTGTCAACGTCTCTTTTTCCTCTGAATTAGACAAGTACATCAGGACTCCTTAATACCAAAGTGACTCTCCCTCATCTGTATTGTTGCTGATAGGGCATTACATTTCCACCAACAACGCTGACCTAAATTGCTCCACATGTTTCTCTTTTTTCATCAATGCTCCTTGCTCTTCCCTCTTTTTTTCTGGGTTAAATTTTGTTCCTATTAAGTATATCCTTTGGTATTTCTTTCCATGAAGGCCTTAGTAGTAAACATTTTTAGTTTTTGGAAGTCTGAGCATATCTTTATTTTTGTACAATTTAAGAGTGAAATTTTAAGAGGGTATAAAATGCTAAAATAATATTGTAACGCATAAGCACAGAGAAGATGTTATTCCATTGTCTTCTGGGATCCATTGTTGCCTATGAGAAGTCATCTGTTAATAATCTAATTATCTTTCCTTTAAAGGTAATTTGTCTTTTCTTTCTGGTAATACTTATCTTTATTTTCATGTAATGTGGTTTCAATGATATGTGTTTAGGTATAGATTTGGTTTAATTATCATTTCTGGATTCCATCTTTCTTTTTCAACCTAAGAATTTATAATTTTCTTTAAGTTTGAAAATATTTCTACCATTGTTTTCAAATAATACTTCTTGCCCACATGTTGGGTTGTTCATTCTACCTCCATATCTTTTTATCTTTTATCTTCTCTTTTATATGCTTAATGTCTTTATCTCTTTGAAAAAGAAAATTAGTAAATTAGAGTTAGATGTCAGGAGATCACTTTGCTGTTTGACTCATATATTCAGGCTCTGAAATTTATTTACTGACTATATTTTTCATTACTAGAATCTATATTTGCTTTTTTTCAAAGAATTTTTTGCACATTTCTTTCTTTTCTTGTTGAATATTTTTAAACTGCATATTAAAAATCTCAGATTTCTCAACTATTTCTATTCTTGTGCCTTTGCTCAGTCTTTCATGGAAGTTTGTTTTCTTATGAGCTTTGAGCTTATCTTTCAGAGAAACCTATTTTTCATAGGGGGCATCTCCTTGGGGAGGTCCAAAGTTTGCTTGTGGACCAGTTTTTAATGTTAACTTCTCCTTCTTGTATTATATAGGTAGCATGACAGAGTGGTCTTGGGGTTTCTGTTTCTCATAAGTGACTTTCCCCTCTTCACAGTGCCACACACCTGACCTGGTGGATAGAGTTTTCCTAGTTATTTATCATGACAGAACTTCCCAGCACCTGGATTTAGGCAGAATTTAGGATCTAGCTTTACAACAAACAGAGGGTATGTGCTTTCAACATCTATCCTGCATAGCTGATACTGCCCTAAGCCCTAGGAGTATTCCAGTTCCAACATGTCTGTAAGATATTTTAAATTCCATTTTAAGCTCTTTGGGTAATGATTAAAAGCATAGAGTCTAGATTTTCACAACTTGGAATTAAAATAAACAGCTCCGCCACTTACTAGCTGTGTAAATTTGGGGAAGTTGCAGCCTCAGTTTTCTCAACTATAAAATGGTGATAATAAAAATTCCTCATGGAGGTGTGAGGATCAAATAAGTTAATATAGGTGAAATACTGAGAATGGTGCCTGACACATAGCAAGCATTAAATATGTGTTTGCTGTCATTATCTTGTTTCCAAGCTTGCCTACATATTAAACATTTTTGCTAATATATTGTATATGTAGGTGTATGTTAACATATATTTTAATAATTTTGTTGTATCTATTTTATTATGCTATATATATGTCCTATGTATAGGTATATGTTAACTCATATTTTAATATACATAATTTTGTTAAATGTATTTTATTATGTTATATATGTGGCATATATTTTCTTTCATAATTTAAAAAATATGTTTTATATATGGATAGCATAAGATTTTCACTCTGTTGTAGAAATATGGCCTTTCTAAAGTGAGGGCACAGTGGTAACAAGCCGGATATGGGAAGCTTATATTATATTCAGTTGCTATATGCAGGATTTGGGCCTCTGACTTCTCAATGGTTGAATTCTTTTTTCCTCATTAAAGGCTTGGCTCAGCTCTGCTATCCTTCTCTCCTTCCCATGGCTGTCACTGCTAATCTTCACAAATTCATCTTTATTTTGAAGGTCATGGAACTCCAGAGATGTTTAGATGTATTTGAGCTGGCAGGAGAATTATTTTACTTCATTCATTCCCACATACAAAAGGTTTTTTATTTTGTGTTTTACCATTTTATTTGACCACACCAGCAAGTCTGTTTAACTGAATGTGGTATTTTCACAAGGAGTAATGATCTGAGGAAAGGGGGCCTGTTCCCGAAAGTGGGATTGCAGATGCTAGTCTTGGCTCAATTTTTGGGGTTTATTAAAAGAGTGTTTATAAAACCACTCTATTTTTATTTACCAAGAATATTAGCGGGGGAAAGGGACAAGAAAAAAAATGGACTGGGACTCAAAATTCTCTGAGGATAAATCAATCATTAAGTAGATCATATTTACATGAATAACCAAGACTTGGTGCAATCTGTCAGCCTACTCAGCTCCTAGCCACAGATCAGCAAGGATTTACTGTACAATCAACCTTCTCTCATTTTACAGAAATAAATGAAAACTTAGTCAACTAAGCAGCAGGCTGCTCTGAGGTTTCTTGAGTAGAAAGGTGACCTGCCTGTTTTCCTACTGATGCAATAAAGAGCACCACTTTTGGTGAACCTGTCTTTCTTTCCTTTCTTTCTTCCATTTGGAAACCCAGCACTGGCTGTGAACATTATGGTAACATATAGTTTATCAGAGGCCTTTACTATGCTTTTTTTTTTTTTTTTTTTTGAGACAAGATGTCATTCTGTCACTAAGGCTGGAAAGCCATGGTGTGATCACAGTTCACTGCAGCTTTGAACTCCTGGGCTCAAGTGATCCTCCTGCCTGAGCCTCCCAAGAAGCTGGGACATCACCATGTCCAGTTAATGTTGTTTGTTTTTTGTAGAGATAGGGTCTCACTATGTTGCCCAGGCTGGGCTCAAACAATCTTCCCACCTTGGCCTCCCAAAGCATTGGGTTATAGACATAAGCCACTGAAACTGGCCTCTTACTATGCATTAAAACACAAATTTTGGCAAAAAAGCCTCCAAAGACAATCTTGAACTTGAGCAGGGAGTCTGACTGTGCACTCCATAAAATGGTGTTGAAAACTGTGTGTGAGCACACATGCATAGGTTTTGGGCTTGAGTTGAGAGAAGGGATGGGTGGCACCACAAGGGACATGGAGTCAGCACACAGTGAGAAACCCGTAGTCTGGAAATTCCTCTCTGCCTGGCTTCATCCAATTTACAAAATGCTACATGGGTAGAGTTACTAACACAGGGCATGGATTTGATGTGTATAACACAAAAATGTTTCTCAAAAACAAGGCAGAGTTGAGTACTTCATTTGTTCTAATTTCTGTAGGTAGACCCACTGTTTTATCAGTGGGAATCAATATGTGGTCGATAGAGAGGTTAGAATTTAGAATTTTAATACCAGCTGTGTCGAGGCATCATTAATTCATTTATTAATTATCTCAACAAATACTTATAAAATGTCTACTATGTGTCAGACACTGGGCCAGACTCTGGAGATATAATGAAGATCGATACAGATACAGCCTCTACTTTCTTGGAATTTATAAGCTATATGCCCATAACCAAATAACTTTGCCTCTCTGAGAGTCATTTTTTCACCTGTAAAAATGGGGTTGTAGCAAGGACTAAATGAAAACATGTATGGGAAAGTGCTTTATAAGAGCTAACGTTTTCTGTATACTGAAGATCTCTCTCTCTCTCTCTCTC